CGAGGAAAAGGAAAGTCCACCTTGTTTCTTGGGATACAATCTGTAAACCCAAGAATCAGGGGGGTCTTGGACTTAGATCTGCTAGGAACTTGAATATGGCATATATGGTGAAATTGGCATGGCATATCTTCAATCGTGATTCTGAGTTGTGGGTGCAGGTTCTTCAAGGGAAGTACTTTAAGCACAAGGATGGTGCCATTGTGTCTATGAAATCCAGCAACCATTCTAGTATATGGAGAGGTATTGTGAAAGCCTTCCCGCTGATGAAGTGTGCAACTTGCTGGAGTATCAGAGACGGAAAAACGACGGGATTCTGGACCCAGCCATGGCTTGATAGCAACACTGTGCTGGGGGACTACCTCACCACTACAATCTCCGAGGAAGATCATTGCTCCGCGGTTGCATCTTGGGTGACTGAGTCAGGTGAGTGGGATTGGAACAGATTGAAAGATCTCATTCCGAATGATACACTTGCTCTGATTGCAGGAATGGAAACACCTAAGACTGAGCTTGGCGAGGATCGGACATTTTGGAGCTTGGAGCAAGATGGAGATTCGGACTCAAGTCAGCTTATAACCTGGTGGCTGATGAACTGAACGAAGAACATCTACCTCACTGGAAGAACCTGTGGAAGTGGAGAGGACCAAACAGGATAAAACACTTCTTGTGGCTCGCATCCCATGATCGCCTGCTGACCAATGTGGAAAGATCGAAGAGAAATCTCACCAACAACAACTTCTACCCCCACTGCAAAGATATCCCGGAAACAATGGAACATATACTCAGATACTGCAGCAAGAGCGAGGGAGCCAGAAGATACTTTGGAAGCAAATTTACATGCGCTGACAGTGTGAAGTCGTTCAAATCCTGGCTTGTCGAGAACCTTAGAGACGAGGACAATGGCGTTGATTTTGGCATTTTGTGTTGGCAACTGTGGAAACAAAGCAACGAGGAGGCGATGGTTGGCACAGCCTACTCGGAGATGGGCCTGATCCAAAGAACCCTGGCCTGGTTCAATATTTATAGGCAGGCTACTAGGAATGTTCTTAGCATTTCTCCTGTAGGGAACACCCAAGAGAGGGACGAGAGATCAGCTGGAGCCCCCCTAGGGAAGGTTGGATTCAAGTGCAGACTGATAGCTCGGTCCTTTCAACAGGTGAGGCTGCGGCTGGAGGGTTGCTTCGGGATCATCTTGGAAGATGTTGTGATGCCTTTGTTTGTAACCTGGGCACCTGCTCTATTACTAGAGCAGAGCTGAAAGGTGCTGCTGAGGGGCTGAACATTGCGTGGCAGCGAGGATTCAAGAAAGTGGAGCTAAATTTGGACTCTGCCACGGCGATCTCGATCATCCAGAACAACGAGGATAGCGAGCACAAACATGGGCTTGTTGCTAATCAGATTAGGTCCCTTTTGAATTTGGATTGGGAAGTTCATGTTTCCCATATTTATAGAGAGAAAAATGTTGCTGCTGACTTCTTAGCTAGTAGAGGGCATGGGTTCTCTTTTGGCACACATTTGTTCGATGTGAGCGACAAGAACCTCAAACATTGACTTTTGTATGATATTATGGGAGTTTCCCAACAACGTTCAGTTATTAATACGAGTTAGGCCGCCTTGAGCGATTGCTTTCTACCAAAAAAAATAACACAAAAAGACTACAAAACTAAACCACAAGTTGTCATCGGGGGAACAAACAATTTCATAAGGAAGGACAAGTTGTGGAAATCAGTTATTATAATCTGCATGCTTTGCTCAAGCTTGTAATTAAATCCAATTATATCGCCAACGGGAGAATTTGACAGCCTGACGTATCAATTTTCCTCTTAAAAAAAAACGTTTCGGTTGGTGTACGATACAGGATGGAAGGCACTAAACTAAAGCACTTAGCCAGCCAGCCAGCCAGCCCATCAAGTTCAATTCCACGGCATTGAAAATAACGGAAGCTTCCATTGTTCTTCTTCTCTTCTTCCACCTTGTTTTGGTTGTCGCGCAAAAGAACAAAACCGAAACGTCAAACGACAAAGCAGTTCTTCCGAGGAATCGACTAATAGGTCTAAACCCTCCCACATCCCCGTATCCACCGTCTAACGCCTTTGCTTGCAATTGGTCCCGTGACCTTCGTTGTTTTGTGTTCGTCTAACTCGAAACTCTTGTTATTCTGGACTGCTGCTACATTCTAAGTTACTTGATATCTTGGACCTTGTTGTTCTGGAATTTGTTTCTTTTCTTCTTGTTTTATCTCTTATAAACAGTTGGGTACCAAATGAATCAAGAATTTATTTCATTGTAAAATGAATTGCTGTGTAAAATTCATTTGTCAAATGAAATCTTGTTTTTGGTATGTCATATTCAAATCTTTAGAAATAAAATGAATTGTCGTGTAGAATTCATTGTCAAATGAATTTCTGCGTTTGGTATGTCATATATATAAGTAATTTAGTTAATAAAGAGGATAATTATGTCATTCTATTATAATTAGTTAATAGTTGTGGAATTCATTTGAACATTTCATCTCAATTCCCCAGAATCGCTATAACTGGTACCAATTTCATAGAATTCAAAATTTAGAATTAAAAATGGATTCTTTTAAATACCAAACACAAAAATGTTTCATTTCAAAATGAATTCCTCAAAACTTAAAGAATTCATTTATACCAAACGGTATGTTGAGGAATAACAAAGAAGTCAACTAGTTGTATTCACGAGTGGTGATGAGTAATGACAACTCCACCCTTAAATTTTAGAATTTGACCGACAAATGTATGCGAATTCTCAATATGTATCTTTCACTTATTGAATCATCTAATTGATACTTTAAAATTTTGTCTAGAGAAGTACATTTTTTTGTCATAGAAATCCTTACAGATTAAACAGGTAAGCATGAGAAGCCACAACCATTACAACCCCTCATGGACTCAACGACATACCAAATAGGAGAAATTATGTAGAATATTGCTTAATCCAGGATAGCGGAAAGCATTACGTGCCACGATATGGGCAGTCTGCTTCGCTTCTCGAGGAGTAAAAACAAAGTGTACTAGAGGGAGATGTCGTAACATACTAATAACTTCACGGTAAATGGCACCACACCGACCATCATGCGCGTCACGATCCTCCAAGTGCTTTAACATGACTTGCGCATCACCACTAATTTGGATCGGTCGATCCTCCCATCCCCAATGACGAAGAAGCATAAGGGCATGACGAATGGCCAAAAGTTCCACTGTGAAGGCATCCACGAGACCAGGGAGCGAGCACCCAAAAGTGAACAAAGGGAGGTCTGCCTCAAATCCCACAATAGCTACACCACCATAAGTTGGATAATTTGTAGCACCATCCACTGCTAGCCGGAATCCTAACGAGAGATTTGGGGTTCGCGATCGGCGATGCTGCATTAGTCGGGGTACTATATTTGTCTGAACAACAACTTGATGGTCCGCGTGATAAGATAGAAATTGATGATGGAGGGTGGATATGGTAAATTGGGCATGGGGGAGAAACACGACATTATTGCGACTTTTCCAAAGTCGCCAAAATAGTAACACCCAGTCACCCACTTGGTGATGAGGGAGTGATCACCAGTATAGATGAGGTGCCGCCAAAAGATGGAGATGTGGGTAGCAGTAGTAATACCCATCGAGAGTTGTAAGTTCAGCACATGTCGAATCTCCTCCGCCACATGACAACGAAAGAATAAGTGTTCGAGGGATTCACCCTCAATAGATTCGCAAACCGGACACAATTCTTCAACTTGTACTCCATGTAGTTGCAGATCTTCGCGAACTGGTAAAATCCTGAGCATTAACCGCCACAATCACAAGAAGAATTTTAATTTCGGGGCAATCGAAAGGCCCCACAACTTAGGCCAAACCGCAGGATCCAATGGGAAGGCGGAGGAGATTCTAAGTGGTCCTGTGGTAGGCGCTGCGGATTTTAAGAGATGGTATGCAGATTTGATCATAAATAGTCCAGAGGAATGATAATGTCAAATATATCGATCGGTGGAGGGATGCAAAGGAAAAGGAATGGCCAGAATTGCAGAAACAGAAGTGGCATAAAAAACTCATGCAAACGTTGGTGATTTCACATTCTCGGGTGAGGATCAATAAAATACGAAACAAATCGAGATGCTCCTCCAGTCGTGGCCAACAGAGTACCTTCTTGAACCCTGTTGTCCAAACTAATATCAGCCATGCTAGGTTGTTAGAGGCGACAAATGGATAGATAGATTCATGTATTAGATTGATTCATGGATCGAAGTGACATCCAAACATTGGATCGCTATCTAAAATTTGGAAAGTATAGCTACTAAGATACCATAATAATAATAAAAAATTATGTGTTAAAATGTAAATTTATAATGATAGTTTTTGTCAAAAAAATAAATTTTGGGTACCACATTGTGAAGTACAGAATATATAGGTACTAAATTGTAATTTGCCAAAATCCACCAATCCATTTAATTTTAGATCAAATTGATTGGATATTTGAAATTAAAAGAATTGGATTGGATTCATGGACTGATAGGAATTTTCCACCTCTATATATAGTTATCACCTCGACTATATTGATAGTTCCATTCTACAAAAAAAATTAATTATAAACGCTTAAATACAATGATGTTGTCTTATTGAACAACATATCGTAATTGATTCTAACAAATGATAAAGGTTACCGTCACCATTAACTTTCTACTACGATTTCAAATCAATGTTTATGAAACCTTATAACATGTAGACTAATAAAATCAATTGTGCAAGATAGAATAAAAAAACTATATACAACGACTCAAGAACATCGTTCTAAAATAATGTCATTTGACTGGTTTAAAAACCAGGTATATTTCATAAACCTCGATTCATCAAACTCCGTTTGGGTATCTGTACAGTTTGAACGTCTTGATCCCGTTCAAACGAAAAATATTTTTTCCTAACTAATATACAACAAAAATCAAAAAGAGGGGAAAAGTCCAAAATCCGATTGTACCATTCAATCTAATTCTACTCTTCCTTCCCCGCCGCCCGCCGGTGAGAACCCTCCTCGCCGTCAACGCCTTCATCCCCAGATCCCCTTTTCCTCCTCCACCGCATCCCGATGTAGAACTTCAACACCAACAACAAAATCACCCCGTTCAAAACCGAATTAAACCCCCAAGCCCCAATCCCGTTACAACCCCCGCCGGAGAGATGCAGCAGGAGGACGGCGGAATGGCAGACGAGATTGCAGCACAACAGCACGACCTGGCAATTGACGACGAACCCGAACCGCGGCCGGGCGCCGGGGAGCCCCGCCGCGGTCCAGAACCGGTACCCGTACACGACGGCGTAGAGGAGCGAGGTGAGGAGAATGGCGAGCACCTGGAAAGATTGGGAGAATTCGAGCCAGAGGAAGGAGGTGACGAGGAGGAAGGACTGGTTGAGGAGGGTGAAGGCGGAGAGCTTTCTGCGGCGGAGGACGACGAGGAAGGTGCGGAGGAGGTGGAGGAAGCGGGAGAGGTAGAAGGCGTAGGACCAGAAGAAGACGCGCCCCGACGCGCGCGTGCCGATGGGGAAGCAGAGGAGCCACTGGAGGGCGTTGTAGTTCTTGGTCCGGCGGCGCCAGAGCCAGCGCGTGTCGCGGATCTCGGCGGCGGCGGAGAGGAGGGTGCCGGCGAAGATGGCGGCGGAGAGGAGGGAGACGGCGAGGCTGTGTGCGGCGGGGATGGGGCCGAGGGGGACGCGGCGGCGCGGGGAGAGGAGGAGGGAGAGGAGGAGGTGGAGGAGGACGGCGGCGAGGATGTAGAGGGCTACGGCGGAGACGAGGAAGTACCAGGTGGATCCCCAGAGGGTGGTGGTCCAGCGGAAGTTGACGATGGCGGGGTGCTCGGAGAGCCAGTATTGGAGGGCGTTTGTCGCCGGAGACGGCGACATTGGGGCATTTAGGGTTTAAGGCGCGGCGGAGGAATTTGGGTTAATTGGGCGGCGGAGATTTGGAGGGGGGAAAGGAGGGGATTTTGGGGAGGCGGGATTTTGATTAATAAATAGGGATTTTGGGGAGGAAACGGAATCGGGAAGTAGTTTGGGGGAATGGGAGGCGCGTAGGAGAGGAGACTTTCAAAGGTAAGGAATGGATTAGAAGGGGAAGTTAATATATATATATATATATATATATATATATATATATATATATATATATGTATAATTAACGTAATTAATTAATTAATGGTCGGCAGAAGATTAAGTAAGTCATTAATCTAGAAGAGCTGTGCGCCGTGCGGGAGAAGGAGGACTTTGAATCCGCCGCCGGCTCCCATCATTCAACGCATTTTCGTGCAACAAATGCTATGTCGATGAGGAATTTTCATTTGGCAGGAGAAACAGCCGGTGGAAACTTCTACTAGGATTGAATTCAAGTTCTTATATCATCTTCCTCTTTTGACATCCACCTCAACCCTCACCTTCACTTCTCTCAATATCCACCGTTGAAGGGTTTTCAAAATTTCTAATCTTGAATCCCTCAATTTTTCGAGCGAGTTATTGTATTAAAATCTGACAAGAAATTTGAGTGAAATCTCTCATATGAACGACCGCTTACGGATTATTATTAGTAGTATAATGCTAGCACATATCATGTCCCATATGTAGGGACAATAAAAGTACAAAGTTTATGGTCCTATCAAATTGGATGGCTTCTCTAATGTTTAGGTCGTTGAACAAAAACATTCAAGAATTAAGCTTGTTATAAAATCACTGACTTTTTCTGTACAATCTACAGTTATGGCTTTATGATTCTTGGTTTACCAAACCCATAACTGTTTCTCTCTAGAAAGTACCCTGGGCTAACACAATAATTATGAGGCACCGATCTGGACTCCCTCGTTCGATCTCTTCGGGAGGAGAGGAATCTGTGAAGAGAGGGCGGCCCCCGGGATCTACGCTCCGACGCCCAAGTTAGTACGATATAGAGGTGTATGGTGTTTAGAAAGAGACCTTAGGGTAAAAGTGTGGAAGGGAAGAGGAGGATCCTCTTCTTGAGAGGCTAAGCGGTGAGCTTGAGCCTATAATCGTTTGTCGTATTAGGCGGATTAATACCACACCCAACGATAACATTCCAAGAGTATTTCTCACATGCTTAAGCGAAGGGTAAGGAAATCCAGCCCAAGTTCACAAAGACTACACAGAGTCCAGTCCATCATTCTATTTGGGCTTTGTTTTCGGGTACTGGGTCTGGTACCATACTTGGCCCTTCGTGGAGATCCAATCCGGACCATTTTACACATCCATGTAATTTCTTTTACCATTCGCCGACATTTCGTGACGGTGGCCGGGGAGGGAGTTATGGAGAATTACTGAGAACTGGATAAGCGTATCCAATGGCCGCATGCCAGCTAGACAAGACAATTACGCGTGGGAGAAGCGTGGAATAGTGTATTGGCTAGGTCTCGGTCCTCCCCAGAGGCCCAGGCCCTATAATATGGTCCCTCAAACTTATAAACATTACAATTAAGGACTAATGTTTTAGTTAGACAACGGTGTTACTCTGCCAAATAGTCAAATACTAAATGTTTACCCATAAGAAAATCAGCTTCTACCACATCGATAATTACAAGGGGATTAATGGATTTATAAGGCCAGCTCAATATTAATGATTAAAAGAGCCAGCTGGGCCTAGTTGGGTTAGATTTTTGGGCCTAAGTGGCCAACCCCCTTCTCCTCTATACGATGGCCTACAAAAACTAAGTCTTGGAAACAAGGCGACACAACGGGGTGCCAAACGACCGGGTACCAAGCCTGGTACCAAATAAGGGGGCCAAACAAGAGGGTATCAAGCCGACCAGGTAGGCCTGGTGCCAAACGGCTGGGTACCAAATAGGAGGCCATCCAAAAGCTAAGTCTTGGAAACAAGGCAACACAATGGGGTGCCAAACGACCGGGTACCAAGCCGGCAAGGAGCAACGGGGTGCCAAACGGCTGGGTACCAAGCTTGGTACCAAATAGGAGGTCATCCAAAAACTAAGTCTTGGAAACAAGGCAACACAACGGGGTGCCAACCGACCGGGTACCAAGCCGGCAAGGAGCAACGGGGTGCCAAACGGTCGGGTACCAAGCTTGTTACCAAATAGGAGGCCATCCAAAAACTAAGTCTTGGAAACAAGGCGACACAACGGGGTGCCAAACGACCGGGTACCAAGCCGGCAAGGAGCAACGGGGTGCCAAACGGCTGGGTACCAAGCTTGGTACCAAATAGGAGGCTATCCAAAAACTAAGTCTTGGAAACAAGGCAACACAACGGGGTGCCAAACGACCGGGTACCAAGCCGGCAAGGAGCAACGGGGTGCCAAACGGTCGGGTACCAAGCTTGGTACCAAATAGGAGGCCATCCAAAAACTAAGTCTTGGAAACAAGGCGACACAACGGGGTGCCAAACAACCGGGTACCAAGCCGACAAGGAGCAACGGGGTGCCAAACGGCCGGGTACCAAGCTTGGTACCAAATAGGAGGCCATCCAAAAACTAAGTCTTGGAAACAAGGCGATACAACGGGGTGCCAAACGACCGGGTACCAAGCCGGCAAGGAGGGCCTGGTACCAAAGTATATGAGAATTGGCTAAGTATGGAGCCATAGGGGTATCAAGCCGACAGGCTTGGCAGCCAAGCAAGGCGACAGGGTACCATGACCCCAAAGGGGTATCAAGCCGGCGAGACTGACTTGGTCGCCAGGCAACAGGGGGCCAAGCCAGGTACCAACTAAGAGAGTCATACAGAAACTAAGTCTGGGTATCAAGCTGACAAGACGGATTTGATATCCAAACATCATGGTATCAAGCTAAACAGCCATGGATGGATCAGCCAGGATGCAGAGTTCAGCCCTTATGGGGCTATATGGAAACAAATTCCCAAGACGGGCTTGGTAGCACCTTAACGGGGTACCAAATCGGCAGAGTGCAACTTACCAACTTGACGAGGCTACAAAAACTAAGTATGGAGACCAAGTCACCAGGACTGGCTTGGTAGCAAGGGGTGTCAAGTTGATTACATGGGCTTGGTGGCATGCCAGAAGGTATCAAGCCGAGGAGACGGCTTGGTAACAACCAACAAGTAAATGAGAAGGATTTGGTGTCATGAGGTGGTAGCGGACTCAGGAGCGGGGAGTCATCAAGCAATCGAGAGTGAAATCAAGACCTCGTCATGGTTCATAGAGGCTAAGGCAAGAGCCTCAACCCCATCAAGTCATGTCAAGGCGACAAGGATCAACAACAACCCGACCCGGCATCGAGGCCATCAAGTACCCACCAGCCCAAGACGGGAAAAGGGCCCCCAAGGTGACAGTTACCAACTAGTCACCAAGGCGGCGACAAGGACCCCGAGGCGGTTTGGAGCAAGAGGCCAGCTAGCAGTTACCAAGGCGGTTGCCAAGACAGTTACGCCTAGTGGCTATAAATAGAAGAAACGAAGAAAGAGCAAGGGTTCCACAACCGACCATTTGACACACTATGTCAAACTTTATCTTTTTCTCTGCAAATTAGCCATAGCCTTAGTTTTCGGAGCTCTCACTGAACCTCCATTGGAGTAGGTGTAATTAACTTAGCTTTGTTACCAAAAAACCATCAAAAACATCAAACACCCTCGTTCGAACATTGTTCGGAGAGGAGTGAACCGTGTTATTAATCGTTGTCCAAGAAGTCGAAGGTGCATTCATTGTGTTCAAACACCAGTTTTTCCTCGTCGGAAAACAAATTGGCACACCCGGTGGGACTCTATGTGTTTAATTTGATGGCTCCACGACTAAGAGAACAGGAAGGTGATATTTCACCAGGAGTTGTGAAGGAGTTGGCGGCCAAGTTCAAATTTGGCCAAGCATCAGTAAGTGTTGTCGGAAACAATGGCATGATTGAGATCTTGCCACCGGAGGCACCTTGTGCCGATGTAACCACCACTGCCATGTCACTCCGCTCAATAGTGGATGATAACTGCAAGATGGTGGTGGAGAACCATCAAGTGATGGTGGAGATTCGTCGATTGATGGAAGAGAGTTTGAATGGACTTGTTAGAAGTTCACAACAGACAAGTCTAAAACTTGCTTCTTTTAGTTCTATGTTAGATAGACGTTTGGATGAATTGATTGAAGCAACTACAGAAAATACAAATTGCTTGGATAAGCTTAAAAAATATATAGAACCAGTGGTGCGAGAAATTTCTTTACCAAAAAATGGTATAGATCCTCCACCAAGTATTGCTACTGAGTATACAAGTATCATCTTCTCTGGTGGCCGGACTACCCAGCCACGGTCAGGGAACTTACCTTCTCCGGCAATGAGTCAACCACCTCTTCAACAAGGTGGTTATGACAAGAATATTACTAACACATTCACCACCCATGTAAAGCAACCGCCGCCTGTGCAGACAGTTACTCTAAAAACTATCTCAGAGGCTAGACCATTCTTGAACATGACAGTTGGTGAAGGGTCACTAGCTATGGATGTGCTACCACAAGTTTTCCCAACCTCGTTGCCATCGATGCTTAAGCGGTCTGGTGGATGCAAAGCACCAGGGGGGCAGGAAGAGGTGCATGGAAGCCTACCACCTGACAAGATGAAGATGAAGAGTCAGGGTGAGGGGCAAGTTGATGTCAAGAAAGGTGAACAAAATGGTGTGTCCAACAAAACACCATATTTGTTTCCTAAGGATGGCATGGGGGGCATATCTCCATCTCCATGCAGTGGGCAGGGGGGCATGTCATCAGACATGAAGGATGGAGTGAGTGGCAAGTTTAAGTGGGTGTTGCCTACCCATGCCACCTATGATTTTCATAACTTCGACAACATGTCAAAGAGTGCACAAGGAGGCGAGGCCCCTTGTAGCATGCCACCCATGAAGGGTCGACAAGGGGGCATATCATCAACCACAAACAATAGAAAGATACACATACCC